TCCCGCGGTGGGATCCTGGCGTGTCTGCGCCCGACACTGGCCCCTCGGCCAGGCTGCTGCGTCCTGGGGTGAAGGGCTCCCTCCTGGGAGCTGGGGTGTCGCCTACGTGGCCCGGCAGGATTTGGTGCCAGGGAAGGCGTGTAGGGCTCCTCCTGCCAGTGAGACTGCAGGCTGCGCAGTTTGTGTTGGGGAGGAGTCCCTCTGGCTGTCCCAGGTTAGGAATCTGCCGGACAAACGTCTTCTTTCTGATCTGTTCCTGTAATAAGCATCCGACTGCTTTTCCTCTTCGACTTGAGTTTGGTTTTGTCAGGTGCAATCGGGCCTTATTTCTCGTGGTCACTGCAGATTGGCTAGCAGGTTGGACACTCAGTAGCAGCTTCTGAGGTCAATAGCAGATATGATGGTCTGGTAGGTAAGCCTAGTTTTTGTATCTTTTTCTTAAGAAACAGATCTGATTTAGTTCAGTTCCATTCCTTATATTAAGTGCTGGAGTATGAAGCAAGTAGGACAAAGGTATTCACGTAGTTATAGCACTAACAGATTAACACAACAGTTCTGCAGGCAGCACATGCGTTTTAGCTTAACAACACCTGATTTATAATTGTTCTGTGTCTTTTGCAGCACATGTTCCTGGAATTTTAATTCTGTAGAACTTATAAGCAGACATCTACCATGTCTTGGCTTGCTGATCTTGCTGGAAAGGCAGAGGATCTCCTCAACAGAGTTGATCAAGGAGCTGCATCAGCCCTGAGCAAAAAAGACACATCAAGCACTGCAGTATATGATAATAAGAATTTGGACTCTGCCACTGAATATTCTGAATTGCACAAGCATACTGGAGAACTGAAATATCAGGTGTCATCCAAAGCAGCCTACATCTCCTCAGCAGCTGATAATATTAAACATCAAAAGGCTACAATCCTAGCAGGAACAGCAAACGTTAAACCAGCACGTAGGACGTCTTTGGAGGCTGCTTCTCCAGTTGAAAGTGTTTCCACACCCAGACCTTCCTCGCAGTTTGTGAGAAGAAAAAAGTCTGAACCTGATGATGAGTTGCTATTTGATTTTCTCAACAGTTCTGAGAAAGAGCCCAATGGCAAGATAGACTCTAAAAAGGAGAAGAGTAAGGCAGCTGTTCTTCAGAATCACTCTCGGACTTCAAGCATTAGTTCTGTGTCTACTAGTACACAGAGTGCAAAAACTACTGAAGATAATTCCACCAGGAGCCAAGGCAATGGTAGCTAAGTAGCATTGACTCTAGAGATATTTAAAATCCAGGTGTGGCTAAG